CGGAGCTATAAATAAGAGGAGGGGTCGACAGAGACAAGGGTTCCAAAACCAACTATTTGACACACATGTCAAGTTTATCCCTTTTCTTTTCTCTATCATGTAGCCATAGATGTAGTTCGTAGTTTGGAGCTCTGGCCGAACCTCCATAGGAGTAGAAGTAATTTAATTTAGATCTCGTTCCCAAAAACCATCAATTAAACACCCTCGTTCGAACTTTGTTTGAAGAGGTTTGAGCCGTGTCTTAGAAATCGTTGTCCAAAGAAGTCAAAGGTGCAAATCAATCTCATTTCAACGCAAGTTTTCTCGCCGGAAAACAAATTTGGCACGCCCGGTGGGACATTGTGTTTGATATGATAGCTCCACGACATAGACAACAAGATGAAGATCTTCTACAAGTCTTCGTAGAAGAGGATCAAGTGACTAGCTTCAAAGTTGGTCGAGTGGATGTTGTTGCCGGAAACAATGGCGGGATGAAGGCTCTGCCAGCACCGGCGACAAGTTCAGATGAAGCAGCTTCCATCACTTCACTCCGTCAATTCATTAAAGAGGGTATGGTTGACTCCCAACAGGTATACTGGCGTTTAACTTCTCATATTAAGTGTCATGCTTCTCTTAATGAATCATTTGAACGTCTTAGTTTCACTTTGGATAGACGTTTTGATCAATTGTTTGAAGCGATGCTAAAAAATCAAAATAGCTTGGATGAGTGTAAGCAATTTTTTATGGAACCAGTGGTACAAGAAATGTCTTTACCAAAAAATGGTATAGATTCACCACAAATCAATGCTACTAGGGATACAAATCTTTCTCCCTCCGGTGGTGGGAATACCCAGCCACGACCAGGGAACTTGTTATCTCCAGTGGTAACTCAATCACCCCCTCAACGTGAGAGTTGTGGTGAGAGGTCCACCTTCACTTTGAACACCAGTGATGGGGTCTTTCATGTCCAAGGTGATGTTCAACCACTCATTCTCGAGACAAGATCAGATGAGACACCTGTCAATGAACGAGATGGTGAAGATCCATTCAATGTGGACCAAGTACCACCACCTGCTTGCCAGCCCCCAATGCCACCCCTATTGAGTATGCAAGGAGGCGATTCTGATGGACTCAAAACACATAGAGCTCGGCAAGGGGGGCATGAAAATCTAACTTCCCACAAGCTGAACCCGAGATGTTCGTCTGGGGGGCATGCGGTGTCTAAGAGGCTACATCAATCACAAGCAACACATGCTTGTGCTAAGCATACTAATTTGGCTAAGTATGGAAAGGGGGGCATGCCTCCAACCACTTCGAGTGGAAACGAGGGCATATCTAACAAGTCACTACGTGAGAAACCCATAAAAAGTTATTGTAGATTTAAAAATTTGGCCAAGTATGGACAAGGCATGTCCAAGAAGCCATATGAAATCCAAGCCACACATGCATATGATAAGCATGCTAGTCTGGCTAAACCTGGACATGGGGGCATGTCACCCATCATGAAGTATGAAGTAAGGGGCATGTCTTGGAAGACACAACAGTTCCAAGCCACCCATGGCTTTTATAAGTGTAAAAATATGGTTAAGTCTGGACAAGAGGGCATGCCACCAATCACAAATAGTGGACATGGGGTCAAGTCCAACAAGAAAAGACGTGAGAAAGCCAAAAAGAGTTCTCGTAGTGTTGAAAATTTAGCTAAGTATGGGCAAGGAGGCATGTCACCCACCATGAATAATGGAGTAGGGGGCATGTCCAAGAATCTAAAAGAATTCCAACCTACACATGCTTGTGATAAGTACGCAAGTTTTGCTAAGTGTGGACAGGGGTGCAAGTCCATGTCCATGAGTAGTAAGTACATGCCATCAATCATAAATGATGGACATAGGGGCATGCATAAGAAGGTATCATACGCACAAACCAAACATGGCCTCACAAAGAACCAAAGATGGTCGTGTGCTAAGGGTAGGAGCCAACAAGGTTTGGAGGATGAAAGAAAAAGTCAAGTGGGCCACATGGGTGGTTGCCAACTTGTCAAGACTGGACATCGTCTCCAACAACATGAGGAGAGTAAGCATGTCTCAACCATGAGGAAACCAAGGCAGAGGAAAACCCACGGTCGTCTTGACATGTCAAGTGATGTGGCTAAAGCATATGAGCATGAGACCCCATGCAAGGCCACCAAGGATAGACATGCTGATCATATACCACCCACTGGTAAGCTAGAAGATTCAAAATTAATGTATGGAGAATCATGTTCCATGGAGGAAAAGAAGCATGTGGTATATGGATGGCTTGCATGTTTTAATCCATGGACTTGGCAGTGGGTGTACACCTTTGGCGCATTAGTTGTTGCCAGAGGCGATGGAGAGCAGTGACGTTTGTCACTCCTTGTTATCTTAAATAAATAAATATCATATATATTAATAAATAAATAAAAGCCAATCATGGCTATATAAGAAACATTTTGAGTCGAAGTTATTAGATTTGATGTGAAGATCTTACCACCAAGTCGTAGTGATGGCTTGGCATACCGAGTCGTAGATTGCGTCTTGCCATGCTATGTCATCTTGTCCCAAGTGGCCACCAGTTTGGATGTTGGCCACGACCTAAGGGCATCGTGGGTTGGAGATGGTGATGGCCAGCTTGAGCATGTAAAATGAGAAAAGTGTAGGGGCCTCACTGAATTGTTGACGAAAAGCCAACAAGGCAAGGGTTTCTCGTTGCTACACATGAATGAAGAAAACATAGGCGGCATAGCTAGCCACTTGAAAAACGTAGGTACCATGGTGTTGTTTTATAGGAAAATTTTTTCGAGTTTTATTGAACATGTGGTCATGGGTGAGTAGAGACAAGCCTTGTTACTCGATGACCAGTTAGAGAAGGGATATAAATGGTCAAGTTGGTCTCAACTACTTAGTCCATAATCCTTATGCACTAAGTAGTTGGGGGGCATTTGTTTACGCTATAAAATTTGTCTTGTACCACATTGGTGAGTTACAAGATAATCAAGGAGTTTATAAGGCCACACCCATTATAACAATTAATGTTGTTTAAATTGGGCCTTATGGATATTGATTTTAAACCCAAGTCACTAGCTCATTAATGAGCATGGACATGATTCAATAAGGGACATGGGCCTCTCGTAAGAGGCCATGCCATGCCACGAGATGGCATGAAAATTTCTAAGTATGAGAAGTCCGTGGCCATGAATGAAGAGGCCATGCCGCCTCATAACCAAGACCAAACGACACAAAAACATGTCCATCTAGAATTTAGAAGCACATGCCATCTCAAGGAAGACCTCGACACGGTCAAAAATATTCTAAGTCTCGAGAAGGGCATGCCACTTCACGAAGAGGCCACGCCGCCCCATGACCAAGGCCTAATGACTAAAAAATAAACTAAGTCTGGAAGAGGTACATGCCACTTCAGGGAGATCCATGGCCGTGTCACGAGAAGGGGCATGGACGCGAGACAATATGAGGCGTCCATGCCAAGATACTAAGTATGAGAGGGCCATGTTGTGTCACGAGAAGGGCCACAGACCTGACTGAGAAGTCCATGGCCGCGAATGAGGAGGCCATGTCGCCTCATGATCCAAAATATACTAAGTCTGAGAAGGCCATGCCGCCTCACGAGAAGGGTCATTGTGCATGATTAAGAGGTCCATGGCCGTGTCATGTGATGACCATGGACGCGAAGCAAGAAGCATTAGAAATGATTGAAAATACTAAGTTTGGAAAGGCCATGCCGCCTCATGAGAGGGGCCTTGTGCATGATTGAGAGGTCCATGCCACCTCACGAGGATGGCCATGGACACGAATGAGAAGGTCGTGGTGGTGGAGCATTATATCACTAGTGACTAAGTCCCAAGAAGGCCATGGACATGAGTAAGAAGTTCATGGCCGTAAGACAAGAAGGCCATGGTCATGAGTAAGAAGTCCATGGCCGCGAGGCAAGAAGACCACGACCCCCTTTGTGAGACACCACATGCTTATCAAAAGACTAGCATGACACGAGATTCAGAACAAGACTAGGGGAGGCAAGCTACACTCCAAGACCCACGACGGTTACAAAAGAGGCCCCTAGGCGGTTGAAGGAGTAACCACCACTCCGAGGAAGCAGGGAGCGGTTCTTTTTGGGAGTTATCCAAGGGGCGGTTTTCTACCGAAGAAGGGGGAGCGGTTCTTTGTAGCAGTTATCCAACAAGCGGTTTTCTATGGCGGTTACCTCCTCGGGGAAACCAACTATTTGACACACATGTCAAGTTTATCCCTTTTCTTTTCTCTATCATGTAGCCATAGATGTAGTTCGTAGTTTGGAGCTCTCGCCGAACCTCCATAGGAGTAGAAGTAATTTAATTTAGATCTCGTTCCCAAAAACCATCAATCAAACACCCTCGTTCGAACTTTGTTTGAAGAGGTTTGAGCCGTGTCTTAGAAATCGTTGTCCAAAGAAGTCAAAGGTGCAAATCAATCTCATTTCAACGCAAGTTTTCTCGCCGGAAAACAAGTATACTTGTCTTTATCCATTCTATATACTATTTTTTAATTTAGAGAAAAAAGTACAAAAAAAAATTCGTTGCCATCAAGAACTGGATGAGATTCACCCTGGATTTTATTCAGGTAACAGGGGATTAGCATATATAATCCCTCAAAATTAAACGACAAAGCTGCCGAAAACAATCCGGAGCTACAGTACATCCAAGTAACATAGTAGCCACAACACAAGAAAGGGCTAATAATACACAGAGCCGTTACGTAACCAAAGAGCCCTTTTCATTCCCATGCACCTTTCATCATACACTTATCTTCGATTATTAAAAACGAACTACGCCAATCAGTATTCAGTCCTACACCACAATTCATCATCATCTTACAAAGGTACGAGGGGAGTAGCTGGTTATGATCCTTAAAGCGGTGTTAACGGCGTTCTTTCTGGCGACGGTACCAGTTCAAGATTCTACGGCCGATTCTATCAAGGTGAGGATTCACGTTACCAACAAGTTAAGCAGCAAGATGCTGATAGTGCATTGTGGGTCGGGGGACGATGATCTTCGTGCCCACGCCGTGGAGATTGACGAGGATTTCGATTGGAGTTTCGAGCCGAATGGCTTTGGCACGACACTTTTCTGGTGCAACTTGGCGGTAGAGGGTCGGCGGCTTTCTTTCGTGGCGTATGATCAAGGGAGCGACGCAGCTAAAGTCCATTACTGGGTTGCCTATGATGACGGGCTCTATGGGAAGGTGACCAGTACCGACGGGGAACGTTTTATGGGTAAATGGAAGTGAATTTGGGTACCGTACGACGTACGTAGGCTCATGAATTTGTTAGGCCAGTGATTACCGAGTTACGACTTCCTCTCTGGTTTCTCAACTTTTTTTCGTAAGTCGCAGGATAAAGTCAATGTTTGGTTACCGAGTTTACTAAAAAGTGTTATGTTTAGTCACTAAAAATATTTAATTTCAATAGTGGTCTCTCGAATTAGTCAAAATGTCCATGCATGGTCACTCGAATTAGTCAAACAATCAATGGTTGGTCATTCAAATTAGTCAAACAGTACATCGGAGAGTGACCAAACAGGAATGAGATTGCTTGCTAACTCTTAAAACAGTTAGCACAGTACTCACCATGTTTTGAGTCGTATGGTTAAAATTTAATGAAGGTCAATTTAGTCAAAATGCACACCAAACCCTAATATATATTCAATCTAACCCTCCCATCCCAAACAAACAAACCACTCGTCTCCCTTGCCCATAGTTGTGAAAACTGCCGCTTCCACTCTCTCAAATCTGCAAAAACTGTCGCACCCGGAGCCGGAAGCACATCTTTTCCAAAAAGCAAATCCCCTCCGCATCGATCTTCGTCGGCGACTATGACGCTCAAGGCACCTGCTCTGTCTCTCGAGACCACGGTTCTTTCGAAGGCTTCTCCGGCTTCCCCTCTGCGCTCGAACTAGACGAGATATGGGGATTCAATTTTGCCGACAAGGAGGAGGCGGCGTAGCCGTTGGACGCTCCGATTGGCAGATGATTGCAGGATTGGATCGATTTTGCCGAGAAGGAGAAGGTGGCGGATTGCAAGGTTGGATCTCGTAACGAGCAGTGGATGTGCCTTTCACATGAAGATTTAGATTGAGGCTAGGGTAAAAGAATTAAGTCTCCATTTTTGGCCGACTAGGGGACGAGAAAACATGGAACAAAAGAAAGGAAGGGTTGGCCAGCTGTGTAATTTTTGGTAGTGATTGTGTTGTAGTGTATATTATATGTATCAATATTCAATAGTGATTCTTCTGGAAATCGTCATTTACTTTCCAGTAGTATTTTGTGTAGATGGGCCCGGATCACCTCAGTAACCCTCCCATCAGTAACCATCAGTAACCCCTTCCCCTGACCCCCACGTGTCAGCTTTTTCTTTTTATTTTAAAAAAATACGGAGGGGCACTAAGGTAAAATTGTACCCCTATTTAATGATGTTTATGACGCGCTGACGCTGACCAGATCACATCAGCGCCTTCTCTCTCCTCAAACAACCTTTAATTTTCCTTCTCTTAATCTTTAACGGACGATTTCTCACTCGTTTTAAGTCGGAATTTTTTTTTTTTTTGCACAGTTAGATCAGATTAATTGTGCTCTTCAAAATGATATCCACTTTGATATTTTTCAGACATAAAAAAATTTGTCAGTTATTACCAGTCATTACCATATGGTAATGACTGGTATTGACCATACCATATGGTATGAAAAAATTTGGCACATCAATATATATTACGTTACCACCCAATACCATATGGTATAGTGTGGTAATATCAATATATATTTCGTTACCACCCAATACCATATGGTATAGTGTGGTAATATCAATATATATTTCGTTACCACCCAATACCATATGGTATAGTGTGGTAATATCAACATATGGTAAATCTAACTACCATACAATACCACCATAGTAGAACATGGTTAATCGAATGAACACAAATTAATTGTAATTACCATACAATACCACATGGTATGAGAAGGTAAAACCATACAAAAATAATATAAATCTAATTACAATCCTTTACGACCATAGTAAAACACGATATCCATAAAAATACATTTTGTTACCACACTTTACCATATGGTATAGACACATTACCATATGGTATATACACATTACCATATGGTATATACAAATTACCATATGGTATAGTGTGGTATATACACATTACCATATGGTATATACACAATTACCATATGGTATATACAAATTACCATATGGTATATACACCCTCAACCTGAGCCACCACTGGATCCGATACCACTGACTGAGGAGGAACACCCTCAACCTGAAGCTGTTTCGGTTTTGCAACCCACTGTTTCCCCTGATGAGCTTCACAAGAACCAGAGACCCCAAAGAGCTTACAAACCGAACAGACTGGAGGAAGATTGCAATATGACACCCCGATTCGAATTGAAACATCATCATCAGGCCATAACACTACATGATCAGGATAGTCATTCCCAGCAGTAAGCTCGACCAAAACCTTTGCAAACCCATGCCTATTGCCTAGTCTCGTAGTTTGATCCACTCCCAGCGGCACCCCTACCCAACTGGCAATCCTACTTAGACCCTGATAATCATTGTACTCAAGCGGAACATTCGAGAGATGAACCCAGATCGGCAAGGCCTTGCGACCTAAATCTTCAAAACTAATGCCTGGAACCCATGGCCGAAGATAAACAAACAAATTTTGATATCATAAGCTGGATATATACACATATACCTCGGGTTTCCATGCTGTTTAGAAATCCCCAAAACTAAACAACAAAGCTGCCAAAAACAATCCGGAGGAGCGGCACAAATAGGAGGTTACGTGATGACTATAAATAAGAGAAATGAAGACGAAGTAAGGATTACACGACCAAACATTTGATACCTAATGTCAAACTTTACATTTTCTGCAAATTAGCCATAAGTAGTTTCTCGAGCTCTAATTTAACCTCTAAAGGAGTAGAGTAACATAACTTAGTTATGCCCAGAAAATCATCAAAAACATCATACACCCTCTTTCGAACATTGTTTGGAAAGATGCGAATTCCGTGTTATCAATCTATGCTCTAGAAGTCACAAATTCTTTCATTGATTTCAAACACAAAAGTTTCCTCCCCAGAAAACACATAATTGGAGAGCATCAATAATTCTCGTTTCTCTTTACCTTAGACGTAATTAAATACCTTCATGGGTTGTATGCAAGAGATCCCATATTTCCTTAGTTGATTCAAATCGTACAACCTTAGCTTCTTTCATCAGGACAACAAGAACATCGATGAAAGATATTGTGCATTACTCGTTAATCGAGTTGTGCAGCGATCTTTTGTTCGTCACTTCAAGCGTCATCATTGTCTTCGTTCATTGCGACTGGCCCTTTGCGAAAGATATTCAAATATGAATCTCATATCATGTAAAATAAGCAAGACACGATTTAACGTGGTATCCTCGACGATGTGTCGAGACTAATCCACGGGAGGGTATAAACCGCTCCAGCTACTGATGTTATTAGGTTATACTTTCACAAAGCGGCTGTGGCCGCGTACAATGTGTATTTATACCCTTTCTACAAGTAACTAGGGTTACATCAGCAGCTAAAGTATCCTCCTCCAACACGTAACCCATGCATGCAGCGGAGAAAGAAGGAGTTGCATGGGCCTCGGGCTGAGTGGACGTACGTCGGTTCATGGACTGCACAGTTGGCTCATTCTCATGGTCAAATACTCCCCCGCAAGCTGGAGCGTGAAGGTCACGAACGTTCAGCTTGGAAAGAAGGAACCGAAATCGTTCTGCTCCCAGACCTTTGGTGAAGATGTCCGCGAGCTGTAAATGAGAACTGACTTTGAGAGGGAGGATAGCACCTGACTGGACTCATTCACGGACGAAGTAGCAGTCCATTTCAACATGCTTCGTGCGCTCGTGAAACACCGGGTTGGCGGAGATGTGAAGTGCGGCTTGATTGTCGCAGTAAAGAGGAGTAGCACGCTGTTGGGGTGCCCCAAGTTCAGCGAGAAGCCAGCGGAGCCAGAGAACCTCGCTGACAGTACTAGCCATGGCTCGATACTCGGCCTCGGCAGAAGAGCGAGCGACAACCTTCTGTTTCTTGGTGCGCCAAGAGATAGGAGCCCCTCCCAAAGTGATGAAATAGCCCGTCGTAGAGCGACGGGTGCTCTCACAGCCGCCCCAATCTGCATCGCAGTAAGCTGTGAGTGTAAGATCATTGTGTCGAGGAAGAAAAATACCTTGCCCAGGAGAGGTCTTAAGATAGCGGAGGACGCGCATCGCCGCCTCCATGTGCCCATGACTGGGAGCGTTGACGAACTGGCTCAAGACATTGACACTATACGTGATGTCCGGTCGGGTGACCGTGAGATATAGGAACCACCCAACCAGCCTGCGATAACGGGAAGGATCAGGCATGAGCTCGTCATCCGACGGGGGGCGAGTTAGATGATGATTCTGTTCCACCGGGAACGCACTGGGGCGCGCACCCTCAATACCAGCATCTTCAAGAATATCAAGTGTGTATTTTCGCTGACATAAAACCACACCATCACGAGTGCGAGCAAGTTCCATGCCAAGGAAATATCGTAGATCACCCAAGTTTTTAATGCTGAACTCGGTATCGAGGAAGCTCTTGACGGTCGCGATGAAGGATGGATCATTCCCGGTCAAGATGACGTCATCCACATAGATGAGGGCTGCAACAAAGGTGCTCCCCCGCCGAAAAATAAAAAGTGAGTGATCGGCAGGTGAGGAGTGGAAACCAAGACGACAGAGAGCAGCAATGAACTTGTGATACCAATTACGAGAAGCTTGACGAAGCCCATATAAAGATTTCCGAAGGCGGCAAACTTGATCGGGTCCCGAACCATTGAAACCAGGAGGAAGCCGCATGTAGACCTCCTCGTCGAGATCACCGTGGAGGAATGCGTTGTTGACATCAAGCTGATGGAGTGGCCAGCCACGACTGATGGCGACCGCCAGGAGACATCGAACGGTCACTAATTTGGCCACCGGTGCAAAAGTATCATGGAAGTCAATCCCTTCAATCTGAGTATACCCCTTAGCAACCAAACGCGCCTTATATCGTTCGATCGTCCCATCCGGACGATATTTAATCTTGAACACCCACTTGGCCGCGATGGTACGCTTTCCGGGAGGTAAATTAATGAGATCCCAAGTCCCATTTTGTTGAAGGGCACGAATCTCTTGAAGCATTGCTTCGCGCCAGCGGGGATCATCTAGTGCTTCTCGGTAATTCCTGGGTACATCATGCGTAGTGACAGCTGCAAGGAAGGAACGGTAAGCCGGACGAAAAGAATCATAAGTTACTGAAGCCGAAAGAGGAAATGAAACAGCACAAGAAGCACTTCCCTCTTCGGCTGGATCATGAAATGGCGCAAACTGTGTGTCGTAGAGGCCCAAATGCTTAGGGCGGACACGCACGCGATCACCTCGTCGAGGTAGCTGGGGGGCAGGCTGTGGTGAGATGGGAGGTGAGGAACCTGAGGACGAGGCATTCTCTGCTGCGGAAGGAGAGATGGGCTGCGCAGGAGTAGTGGTCTCGATGGGAACTTCTTCCTCTGTGAAAATAGGAGGGTCCTCAATGACACCATGCATGGGAGTAGCATCGCTGTGCCGTGGTGAAGGCTGCCCAATGTCGTCAAATAATTCATCGTCGGAGTCGGGCTCAGGGACGGTGAAGACTGGTCGTGGGATCCAATGCAGCCGACGAGAGGTTTCATTTTGGAACGGAAACTCATTCTCGCGGAATTGGACGTCGCGAGACACCACTATGCGTTCCGTAACAAGCTCATAAAATCTGTATCCTTTCTGGCTAGAGGCATACCCAATAAAAACACATGCTTTGCCGCGCTCAGCAAATTTATCAAGTGCAGCGTGGGTGTCTTTAACATATGCAAGACAACCAAAAATTCGAAGATGGGAGTACGGTGCTGGTTTATCAAACAATACCTCATAGGGTGTTCTTCCTGTGGCAACGGTTGGCAAGCGATTAATCAGGTAGACTGCAGTGAGAATGCACTCGCCCCAAAACCGAAGAGGTAGGCCAGCCTGAAAACGGAGTGCTCGGGCCGTTTCTAGAATATGGCGATGTTTTCGCTCGACTACCCCGTTCTGCTGTGGAGTGTCGGTGCATGAGGTCTGCAACAGGATGCCCTCACTTTCGTAGTATGCACGTAATGCCAGTGTGTTAAACTCATGTCCATTATCTGCCTGTATGCGCTTAAGCGCTTACTGAACTGTTGTCGTAACATCTGATCAAACATCAAATAACGTCCAACCTCTGATTTAAACCGAAGCAAGTAGACCCATACACCGCGACTGTAATCATCGACTATGGTAAGAAAATAATGAGCTCCACTAAGAGAGGCTGTCTTATAACCACCCCAAATGTCAACGTGAATCATATCAAAACACTGCTGAGTCCAAATCTGACTAACAGGGAAAGGAGTTCGTGTTTGTTTAGCTCGGGAACATGAATCACAAGCTTTATTCGAAGTAAAAGAAACATCAAGAAGCTTCTGGAGACCTTGTAGCTTTGCTGGAGCTGGATGCCCAAGCCTAGCGTGCCAAACTTCATCAGAGACTCGTCCCTGCTGCTTTGCCGCGCAAGCCGTAACATGCTCATACCCCAGAAGCAGCAAATAATAAAGGCCGTCTCGCAATTCACCTCTCCCAATCAACTTCCTGGATAGTAAGTCCTGAATCACGCAAAATCCATCGAGAAAGATTAATGCTACCCGGTTCTCCTTAACAAATCGACTGACCGAGATCAAATTGCATTTGAATTCAGGTACGTGAAGAACCCGATTACGAACGAGACCTGGACATAGTTCAATACTGCCTATGTGCGCTACGGGCACACTATCACCATTAGGAATTTTCACCGGCTGCCCATTTTCATGCTTTATCTTGTTCATTAACGATTCATCACTCATAATAATGTGCTCATTGCACCCGGAATCGAGTAACCACTCAGTTCCTGTAAAAGACATACCTGCCAAGTTTGCGCTGGGATCGTCAGCTCCTTGAATAGAATGACCGAAGAATTGCTTGAGTTGCTCTAAATGGGCAAGCGTGAACCCCGCTACGGGACTCTTCTCGTCCTTCCCATGTTCAACCTGTGCCGCCCTGGGTTCCCTCTCGCGATCACGGACTGGTCCATCAGTGATTGCTCGAGGAGGACGTCGCCACTGCTGCTCGGCCGACTTGTCACGAGACGAGGTCAGCTCGCGCGAGTCCCGATTCTCACGAGACGGATACCCGTGCAGCTGATAGCAGCCCTCACGGAGATGCCCCTGCCGCTGACAGTAGGTGCACCACATCTTCTCCTTAATGCCACGATGGTTGCCTCGATCCCCATCGCTTTTAGCGGCAAAAGCAGCCGCCTCAACTACCGGCTTGCGGTTTTGTGAAATGAGGCGCTGCTGCTCCTCGTTCAATGTCATATTAAAGGCCTCAGCGAGGCTCGGCGTGGGTTTCATCGCCAGCACCTGAGTACGCACCCCTGAAAAGACCTCATCAAGTCCCATCAGAAAGTCGAAAAGATGTGAGCTCTATTGCTGCTCACGAATGCGGGCCGTCACGCCGCAGGTACAGAGCCCGCAAACGCACACCGGCGTGGGCGATATCGCCGTTGCCTCCTCCCAAAGTGACCTCAACTTCGTATAGAAAGCTGAAACAGATGTCTTCTCTTGCTGAAGTAGGCTGATTAGTCGTCGGAGCTCATAGGATCTGGAAGCGTTACCTTGTCCAAAACGATTACGCAAATCGTCCCAAATTTCACGCGCGGTTTCCGCGAATCTAATGCTGCTGCGGATCTCTTTATTCATGGCTGTCTTTAGCCATCCCTTCACCATGGCGTCACAACGTATCCATGCGTTGCGCGATTCACCGGCGATGGGTTTAGCAAGCGTCCCGTCAACGAACGCATATTTGTTTTTAGCAATCAATGCATCCTTCATGTCGAGACACCATTCCCCGTAGTTGGATGACGTGAGAACATCACCGACCAACATCTGACCTGGGCCATCGGAATTGTGAAGCATCAACACTGGTGGAATGTTATCGATCATACCACTGCCGCCAGTGCCTCCCCCGTTCTTCTCTTCATCTCCCATTGCGAACAAACCTAGGATTCGACGCGCTCTGATACCATGTAAAATAAGCAAGACACGATTTAACGTGGTATCCTCGACGATGTGTTGAGACTAATCCACGGGAGGGTATAAACCGCTCCAGCTACTGATGATGTTATTAGGTTATACTTTCACAAAGCGGCTGTGGCCGCGTACAATGTGTATTTATACCCTTTCTACAAGTAACTAGGGTTACATTAGCAGCTAAAGTATCCTCCTCCAACACGTAACCCATGCATGCAGCGGAGAAAGAAGGAGTTGCATGGGCCTCGGGCTGAGTGGACGTACGTTGGTTCATGGACTGCGCAGTTGGCTCATTCTCATGATCCAATATATCACAACTTTACGATCTCTATCAAATGAAAATCAATTAATCTGCTTGACATTTCTAAATCCTCGTCATACCTTATTATGTTTGAATCCATTATTAGAATTTTATTTCAAATCATGAAATTCAAACACAACATGTCGGGCAAAATATTTGATATACATTAAGAACCCATTGGTTTTAAATTTTAATAACAGGAAAAGATTCAAATATATAAACCAGTTTTACAACTTACAAGCCCTTAAATAAACTAAAGAATTTCGATATCATCAAGCTCGATCGATTTATAGACATACCTTGGGTATTCAAACTTTACAGAAATCCCCCAAAATTAAACGACGACAAAGCTGCCGAAAACAATCCGGAGTTGCTGTATGTAAATCCAAGTAACGTAACAGCCACAACACAAGAGCCAAGACACAGAGCCGTACGTAGCCAAGAGCCCTATAATCCCCATGCACCCTTAATTTTATACACTAGTTATCAACTTACCATAGATCAATTCACTACTATAAAACCCACTGCGTCGATGATCAGTACACCACAGTTCATCATCAGTTCTTATCAAACTATATATAGTGACTAGGGAGCAGCAGCTGGTTACTAATACTATGATCCGCAAACTGCTACTACCGGCGGTCGTTCTGGCAACGGTACTGATACAGGATTCTGAAGCACATGAATATTATTACCCGGTAACGTATTGTGTTACCAACAAGTTAAGCAGCAGAATGGCAGTGATAGTGCACTGCCGATCTAAATACATCGACCTAGCGGCTCGGACGGTGGCGGCCGATTCCGATTACAGCTGGGGTTTCCGGCCGAATGATCATTATCCAGGGAATACCTTTGCGTGCCACCTGGGGTTCCAAGACAAGCGTCTCGATTTCACGACAGCCGTCAGGGATGGAGATCAGTACGAAGTGCTTGATGATGGAGTTTATGGGACTCGCGCTGAGGGGAAGCAACGACTCCAGGAGTGGAAGAGCTAGGTTGATTTAGGGCTCGTTTGTTTGTCGGATTTCAAAATAAATGTTTTGAGTTTTGAATTTTTTTAGATTTACGAAGAATTTGTTGCATTTTGTATTTTAAAAATGTTGGGCCAATCATGGAGGTTCTTGGGCCGTCAAGCCCATGACCTACAAAGCTCATAAAAGCAAGCCAAAGGCCAGCAATAACAGGGCTACCAACCGGGGGCGGTCCCAAAAGAAGCAAAAGACCGCCCGACAAGTCTAAACGACAGAAATCGCCTATACCGCTCGACAATAGGTCCAACGGCTCCCTGACTCCTGTCAATACGGAGATTTGCAGAGATATCCCCTAACCATGCATTTAATAAGGCCGAAGGCGTTCTCACACGCCTGACAAGCCATTTAATGCACACACCTCAGGCAAAGCTAGTATAAATACCCTCTAAGAGCAACATTTATGGTAACTTCTACCTACTCCACTCTCTCTAATTTACATTTCATTCCCTTCTCTCTCTAACTTTGACATTTGAGGAGGTCCCAGGAAACCCCTAAGGACCTTTCGTGCAGGGTTTCAAAGACCGCCTCATCCATCAAAGGCCGCACGAGGCTAGTGACGTCTCACCAAACCGCCTGGAACATCCCACAAACATTTTGGTGCCCACTGTGGGGCCTCACAACTTCGTTGCGGAAAAGATGGGAGACGATTTTGAGACCCCTCTCAAAGGGACGATTTAGAATAACGCCCTCCGAGGCCTATCGCCGAGAAGCAAAGACGAAGTCGAGCTCGAGAAGGTGGTCAAAAGTCAGGTCTTGCAAATTGCGAACATGCAAGACAGCCTCTCTCAAATCCTCCAGCTCTTGAAGACCATGGAAGACCCCCCCCCCCCCCCCCCCCCCGTGAGGGTTCATGTGGAAGGAGGACGCGCGAGGAGAAGCAGAAGGCGGGGGACCAGACGCGGAAGACGTGGATCTCAGCTTCCTTGATGAGCATCTGCGATAGACCTACGGGAAGCACAAAAGCCCGAAAGTTCTTCAAAATCCTCTATCAAAGGAGTTTTTCAAAACCCCGGTCCCGCCTAAATTCTCCTCCCTCAGACTACAAACCTACAGCGGGACTTCAGATCCCGTGGACCATGTTTGTGCTTTCATGCTAAAGATGCAACTCATTAATGCGTCAGACTCAGACTTGTGTCGTGCGTTCTCTTTCACATTCAGCGGTCAATGTCCTAGGATTATGGATAGTTATTCCATGAGACCACCACCTGCGACAATTGATACAACTCCGGTGGATCCAGTACTTCATTGGGGACATGAGCACCATCATATTGACTCGGTTTGGGCAAACAAGGTAAGTTTTCAAACTATTTCTATAGTTTTTTTATTAACTGAATTGAGCTGAAATTAGAATAGAATAGAATTACGAATGAAATATATGTTAAAATTAGAAAAAGTTTAGGTTATATATATAAATATAAATATTAGGTGAACTGAGTTTAGAAGTACACATGTGATTGAATTAATATAAGTTTTGTGCACTATAGGCTGGTGATCGACCTTACCACATTCGAGGTACGAGCAATTTCGTCAGATACCATCCACTTTATCAGCCGTATCTCGTCGATGCAGGCTTGTTTACAGTTCTGCCATTGGCATCACCAAAGACTACATGGCAGTTTGCACGAGCTTATGCTCTGTCTCTGATAGGAGGATATTTGTTCCCCGATCGGTCAGGAGGTTCAGTTCATCTGCAGTACCTACTCTTGGTGGAGGATTGGCGTAGAGCGGGGAGGTTTGCCTGGGGAGCAGCTGTTCTATCCTACATGTACCGTGAAATGGGTAGGTCGGTGCTGCATATGACGCAGTCCTCTTCACTAGGTGTTGACCTTGGTGGATGGTTCGCCTTGCTGATGCTCTGGGCGTGGGAGCGATTTCCTCATACAGCACCACTACATATAAAGACGAGGGCGCAGATTACCGAGGACGTAGTCCTACGTTGCCTTCGATGGCTTCTGGCCCATACCCGTTAGCATGGTGATCTGTTCTCTCCATACAAGTTGTGGTTTGACGAGAGCACGACATTCGTGGTTAGTATATAATATTTCATTTTATAGAATAGTTTTCATTGATTTGTTTTAGATTTAGGAGTAATTATGTGACCAAGTTTTGTGTGCAGTGGCGTCCTTACTTAGATACAGCCCAGGACTTCAGCGGTACTGTGATCCAGTCCGACACGTTTCGAGCAGTAGTTCTGCTGATCTGCTTTTCATCGGCGATGTTGCACCATCCAGATTGCGTCGCCAGGGACAGTTTGGCATGATACAGGACCGACCTCATCAGCCACATTCTGCGGCTGAGATTAGGTTTTCCCGTCGCCAGGGCCAGCATGGGCATTACGTGGGCAACAGTTTATACAGGCAGCCAGCGATTCGATCGAGTGGTGGAATAACCATCGACATGAGTTCATCGCGCGTATGAGCTACATTGACGCCCATTTAGCCTACCTTTCGGAGCATCTAGAGTGGTATTTAGATGTTACTAGATGTTCAGGCACACGGAGAAGAGCTACAATGAATGTAGTGGTTAGTTTTTTTATTAATTCATATTTGTGTTCTAATTTTTTCCAGATGTGTAGGTTTTCTGATATTTTAAATTTAATTTTCATTACGACAGCATGGAGTCCGCTGAGTTGGGTTTACGTGATGGAGTTCAAGATTGAGGGATGTCCACTGACCGGATGGAGGAGTTGGCTGACATATTGGCAGCAGGGGTTACAACTATAGGTTTCAGTGTGCGCCGAAATCCCAATCCTACAAAACCTATACATCGGTACCCTGTTGATGAGCGCAGCTTACACATTTGGCCAAAGCGTAGGGTTCAGCCATCGGCCTCAGCGTGCCACCGCCACAGTTCACGCAGGAGCCAAGGAGCCGTAGACATCGACGTGAGCAGCGTGACGTACCTCGTCAAGTGAGGACCTCAGATAGTCAGCGAGTGTAGCCAGCCAGACCTACTTCGACCTTCCAGTTCCACCCACCTTCTCAACAACGATTTCACCCGGGCGCTTATGTTGGATTACAGGCAGGCACCAGTTCGGCGCCGCAGTTTCAGCCACCAGAAGATAGCTTTCATACACTGCAACATGCTACGATGGGAGGCGGAGCCGTGGCATCAGGTAGTGATACTATACCAGATTTGGAACCAGACGAGTGGGAGCGTCTAATTAAACATATTTTACACGTAAATTAATCATATCTTATTTTGCTATGTTAAGTAATACAACCTTTTGGGCCATTTAATTGTGGATTTTCATATAGTTAAATGTTTTAGTAATACCATAGGTCCAAAATTGAAGGTATATCAACTATCATATGCAAAAAAATGTTTGGTGTTTGGCGCAAAATTATAAATAATTTTGTTCAATATAAAATACCGACAATCATAGATGAGATTATCTTCAACTCGTAATTAAACACATTAGTTTTACAATTCTCAAATGATAACATCCAAGTAAAATCAAGGTTCATCCACCATACAAGATAAACACTACTACCATTATCACTCCTCATCAGGCTCTACATCCACATAAGTCTCATCATTCTCATCAGAATTGTCGTCGGCATAGTCTTCTTCCACTTGTGACATAGTAGGACTCGGGACCAAAACATGGGTAGCAGGAGAGCTTCCATAGGGTTGGCAGGAAAACCAGTCAAATCGGATATCCACCCGAACCCGAACCGGTCAACGCGGGTAAAAACCGCATTGGCTGGGTTCGGGTCGGGCACGGGTAAAACCCGAACTTGTAATTGGCGGGCACGGGTAGGGTTTGGATACTATGATATCCGCTCCGTACCCGCCCGGTATACCAAAGCTACCCATCCCCGACCCTTCGTCACCCACTCGTCCCCACATCTCAAGGTTTATCGAGCATCGACACAGACAGCCAGACACAGCCCCCTCATCCCTCAATTTTGAATTTTAATTTTTCCCCAGCTCCCAAGCCCCAATCAGCGACCGCATTCTGCATTCATTCAATCTTTCTTTCCCTCTCTGAGTGCTTTTCTGATTCTCAATCTCTCGACTCTCTCGTATCGGCTCTTCGTCTTCTCCAGAGCGCCAATCAATGACGACCAATCCTCCTCTTCCCTCAACCCTCTCTTGTCCATTAAATTCTTTCTTATCAAGGAGCCGGTTTCATCCATTCTTGTCACTTTGGCAACCAGCGACAGACCAAGCAACCACACCCCCTGCTCGCAAGATAGAACCTCTGTTACAGTGGGGTTAGTTTCTATCCTCTTCCTTTTCCCTTCGCGTTTTAACTCTTCCTCAACTCGGTTTCTTGATTTCGATTTCTGGGTTAATTAATGAGACCATGCGCCCGACCCTCTGTCCTCAGCTGCAACTGACGCATACAACCTTCCCCTCCAGCCTCCCTTCCCTTTTACCCAACGGTGAACTATTTCTGGATTCAACCTTCCTCTTCTAACTGTCTTTTTTTTCTTTCCTCATGGTTGAACGGCGTCGGCAACTCTCTTCCACGCTGGAGCTGGACAAGACAGCTGGAAATCTGGAATACTGCTTTGTATTGCCCTGTGAAGAAGACGCAAGGAAGTAGGTAATTTTTATTTGTTGTTTTTCATATGATGTTGCTGATTACTTGCTTCTGCAATTTTTATTTTAGATCAAAGTTAATATATTTGTGCTATTGATATGAGATTCCCTACTGCTGCTTTGTTTTTCCTATGCTGCTGCTCTGTTGAGATTTTTAAATAAATGCGGTTGCTTTGTTTTACCATTTGTTGTTGTTCTGTAGTGATTGTTTACATGTTTGTGCTCACTTGTAGGTAAAGAGATGGCTCAAGAGGTTGCTGCTACTAATGCACAAGCACAAAATCAGCAGGCTGCTGCTACTAATGCAGAACCACAAAATCCAATACCCACACCTGCTGGTGATGATGAAGAAGTTCTTGAGTTGGGAAATCTCAAGAGTGACGTGTGGAAACACTTCACAAAGATAAAGAAGGGAGAACTTATCAAGGCTAAATGTAACTATTGCAAGAAGTTGCTTGCCGGTGAGTCCAATAACTGTACTTCCCAATTGAGAAATCATTTGAGGACATGTATGCAAAAAAGGATTCAATATGGGAAGCAAAAGGTACTTGGTACCAACTTTGTCTCTAAGGGAAAAAGAGAAATGGTTGCCACTCAGTTCAATCAAGTTGTTTCTAAGCAAGATCTTGCTGTTGCAATTGTTATGCATGAATACTCTTTGTCGATTGTGGACCATTTATACTTCAGAAAATTTTTGTCTGGCCTCCAGCCCTTGTTTAGTGTTCCTACTAGGAATATTATCAAAGCTGAAATTCTTAAGATATTTGAGAGTGAAAGGACCAGACTCATGAAAATGGTGGGTAGTAACAAGGGGAGGGTTGCCCTGACGACCGATATGTGGACAACAAGCAACCAGAAAAAAGGGTTACATGGCTATTACGGCTCATTACGTGGACAATTCTTGGATTCTTTGAAATCAAATACTTAGGTATGATATCTATTATATAATTTGACTTCTATCTTGTTTATTTATTGAGAAGAATTCACTATTTTAACATATTTTAATGCTGTATTTTCTTGTATGTAGGTTTGCTTATGTTCCAACTCCGCATACAAGTGGTAGGCTGGCTAAAGTTTTGCTGGACTGTATGATGGATTGGAATGTCGATTCTACGATATCAACTATAACCTTGGATAACTGTAGCACCAACGATTCCATGATTGAGAAGGTTAAGAATAAATTGGTGATGTCTTATTTGCTTAAGGGGGGTGCTTTATTACATATGAGGTGTTCTGCACATGTTCTAAACTTGATAGTCAAAGATGGGTTGGATGTGCTTCGAGATGGCATTGAAACAATTCGTGATAGTGTAGCTTATTGGACTGCCACACCTAAGAGAGTAGAGTCATTTGAAGGAGCAGCAAAACAATTGGAATTTTCTTGTGTTAACAAGTTGATTTTGGATTGTCCAACTCGCTGGAATTCAACCTATCATATGCTTGCTGCTGCAATACCTTACGAATATGTGTTTATTAGACTGAAATAACGTGACTCTCACTATAATTGTTTGCCTACGAGTGATCATTGGGCATTTGCATCAATTGTTTGTGAGAAGTTGAAAATATTTAGTGAGATATCTGATTTGTTTTCTGGCACCAAGTATCCCACTGCCAATCTGTTCTTTCCAAAGATATGTGATTTGAAGCTCAAACTTTGTGAGTGGCTCGTTGATGATCATGCTATGATTTCTAAGATGGATGAATTGATTTGGGTTAAGTTTTGCAAATATTGGGAAGATATTCATGAAATATTGGCAGTGGCTGTTGTGTTGGATCCGAGATATAAGATTCACATTGTTGAGTATTATGCTCCGAAGTTTCGAATGGGTGAGTGTGTCTTGGATGTGGTCAAAATCAAGGATATTTTGAGTGATTTGTTCATGGAGTATCAGACTAAACTGAATAAGAAGTCCGGGGTTGCTTCTAGTGGTTCAAGTGGCCAGTCACTTGGTGGTTCTTCTTCTGTGGATGTGGACTTTCAGCTGTTTGTACAGCAAAGAAAAAAGTCGAAAGGAACACCTACTCAAACTGAATTAGAGAATTATTTGGCTGAGGAAGTCTTACCTTGGAGTGCTGATCTCGATGTTTTGTTATGGTGGAAGCTAAATGGGGCTAGGTATCCTATTTTGCAAGAGATTGCAAGGGATATCCTTGCCGTCCCTGTTACCTCTGTTGCATCTGAATCGGCTTTTAGCACTAGTGGTCGATTGTTGGATCCCAATCGTTGCAAACTTCATTATACAACTATGGAGGCATTGATGTGTACTAAAAGCTGGCTTCAAAATTCAGTTTCGATAGATATATTTCTTATTCAATAGTTTTTACTTGTTTATAGTCATTTTACTTTATATAACATTCTTTTGTCCACTTGTACAAACTAGGAGCTGATTCTGGATCTTTGGATGAGCTTTGTGCATTGCTCAATGATGGAAAGCATGAAGATGACATGGAAGGTTAGTGATTTACTATAATGTTAATAGTGTATTATATATAATATATATATATATATATATATATATATGTGTTACAACTGGAAATGCTCATATACATATTTTTTTTTGTATATGTAGATCAACAATTGCGGAGTGACAAATATGCATTTAACTTGCTTGAAGATTGATGAATGATTGTTTTTTGGTGCTGTAATGTGTTTGTATTCTGCTGGAGTATGCTGTTGGAGTCTTCTGAGTTATTTTTGGAAATCTGTTGGGATTTTGTTATTATTTTGTTGCTGGACCTATCTGCCAGAAATCTGCTTGTATCCTGGAATTTTGCTGTTGCAAGCTACTGGGATCATCTGGAATCGTCTGGGATTTATTGGAGTTTTGCATGAATTTTTTGGAATTTTGCTGCTGGAAGAAGTCTGATTATCTGCTGGAATTTTGTTGCTACAAGCTGCTTGAATCAACAGGGATTTACCAGAGTTCTGCTGGGATTTTCTAGAATTTTGATCCTGGAATTTTGCTGCTGGAAATCTGATTATCTGCAGGAATTTTGCTGCTGCAAGTTGCTGGAATCAGCTGGAAACTTTCTGGAATTTTTCTGGGATCCACTGGATTTTTTTATATTGTTTTTATGTTGGAATTGTTTCTAGAATTTCTAAATTCTGCACTTTGAACTTGGTTTAAATGTTAAAGTTGGTGTTATGTTAATTATCATATTGAGTAATTTCAAATTTGTTTAATTTTGTTATGGAATTATTTGGTTTGATGAACTAAGAAGGGAAGAAAGACGAGTTGGGATCTGGGCAGGTATCCACGGTCTTTCGGGTAATACCCGTACCCGTTCGGGCATGGGCATGGTCATGGATTTACTATCCATCCTCCTATTTTGGGCGGGTTCCGGTTTTACGAATAACTTCTCGGGTGGGTATTGGATACCCGCTATCCATGCCCGCCCAGACACATTGCCAACTGACACGCTAAAACACAACACCTAACAATGGCCAAGTGTAACCAATGAAAGGGACTGCAGTATAGGCAAGTTTAATTATCAACCCGGGGTGTAGATCTACTGCTTACTCCGTGATTCTAAAGCAGGTAAGAGTCACTCGGGATTGAGTCCCCCTAGCCCCTTAGTTAGGTTCAATTGCAATTCCCTGGGTTGATTTACTGTTGATTAGACTGCGGAAGATCCGACAGTAGCTTGGAATCTCTTAAGCTGACCAAGCCCTCTCAGTCCAACTACCCGGCAGACGACTAGTCTTCACCGGGATAGAAAGCTGAGGCTATGAACACAGAACTCCACTACTGGCGTCAAGAACACCAGTACAAAGAAGTAAACTGGCTAACTCTCGTATAGCCAACCTCCTACTATCGAATGAAGAGGCTCTAACAACCTAATCAGATTCTAACTATCTCAGGTTGCAGCAGAAATTGAGAAAAGCTGATCAGACTCAAATCAATTCATGAAACATGCGTCATTCGATTAAAATCAAACAGTAATATCATCCCAAGTCATTACAATCAAATCCCTAACACAAGGAACTAGGGTTCTTCATACCCAAGTGAGAGAAGGGTTCTACTCCATAGAGAGAGAAGAGAAAACAAGAATCGGATTAGTCATACTCATAACGATGAGGATAATCTGCTCCGGGACGATGATTTCCACTCCTATGACGATCTCCAGGCTCGATTCGATGAAATCCAGCTCTAAGACAGCTTCTAGGATGTGTTCTTCGCACTTTCTCTCTCTAGGGCTCTGTTTTTGCTCTCAAAACACGATTCTCCCACTTCTGGCTCGGATTAGGCTTTAAAACCGGCTTTCCCGAGTTGCACGGCCAGGTGCACGGCCGTGCACATCACCATTCTGGCCGTGCACCCTCAAAACGCACCGTATCAATTATTCGGCCTTCATCCACCTTGCACAGCCAGGCGCACGGCCGTGCAATCTTCAGGGTCTGGCCGTGCATGGCCTCGACATGAGGTGCACGGCCAAATGGCTCAAGTGCACGGCCGTGCAGCCTCCTGGTCTGCCCGTGCACTCCCAAAAAGCTCGCCCTTCGTCCGTTCTGCGTCCAATCGACCCCAGACTCGCTCCTAAGCCTTCATTCACGTACTAGGTCCTGAAATAACACAAACAAGCACAACCTAGCGTGAAATCGGCCTAAAACACGAGAATCAACACCTCAAATGGTGTAAGTATGAGGGTAAAAACATGTGTAAATGACGGTCTATCAAACTCCCCCACACTTAACCGTTTGCTTGTCCCCAAGCAAACCAAGTCAGACACTAGGTAAGCTTACATATTTCAATCAACCAACATTGGGGACAAGTCATAAAGGCACAAAACACGTGAATCGCACTAGTTCTCAAACATCAATACATGCACAACCTCACTAACAACCTGGACAACCACCACAGAGGACATTCGAGTGCAGCAAATCGAGTAAAGGAAGAGTCCCCCTTCTGTTCACTGGCCAACCTAGACTTGATTCAACCACTTACTCAAAACAGTCAACTCATGCATCCAACTCAAGACATCAGAATAGAGACCGAGCAATCTAGGTCCTCACCGGGGTACAAGAGCATATAGAAAATGAAAATGAATCACTCACTCTCGACCAGTGGGGTCAGGACAATTTGATGCGAAAGATGCGCATGCTATTTCTCTCAATACCTATCATCTCTTCACCATGATGGCAGCCTCTAAATGCTAGAGTTCACATATGGGGTGTCACCACTAACTAATCAGGAGGTCTTAGACACAGGTTCAAATGACTGGCTAGGGTCTTGGACATGGGGAAAAGGCCTTTTAGGTGGTGGAAGTATTCATAGCAAAAGGTTCCACATTTCCCAAACACACAATCACAGTCAAACAACCCGGTATTTTCTTTCTGCTATTCTGCATTACTCAATATCTTAAGAGCACAAGAGCGAAGGAGGCATAAACATCAGCATTTCCAAGCCAGACTGCTAAGAAACACTGCTTACTGGGCATTATTCAGATTTTTGGCAGTGGCTCTCTTTTGCTTTCAATTTCTTTTTCTTTGTTTTTCTTTTATTTTTCTTTTCATTTCCTAAGAGAGCCACCACTTCTGCATAAATTGCAAACACCTGCCCAACTTTTAAGCACTACCTCCAACACTCACATAGACTTTAGCAGAAACGGCAGAGAATATATAAAACCACTCTGTGGAACCTTCTAAAAGATGCAACAAGGGTGATTTTTTTTCATTATAGACCAAAAGAAAGGATAACACACGGCTCAAAGGGGCTGACTAGGGGATATGACACATCAGGACAGTCAGTTTTGGGCGTGGGCTAATCCTATGCCCCCATCATCTTAGCTAGTGACAACGTGAATGCTACACATCATGGAAGAGGGATCTATCGCACAAGAAAGAAACGAGCAGGCTCAAATCTCACATGGCTACCTATATGCTCTATCTCACATTCTGATACCCTGAACTAGATGCATAAACGACTGTCAAGAACAAGTAATCAGATCAAGTCAAATCAAGTCACAGTTGGCAAGCAAACAGTTGAAAAACTGAACCCCTACATCGTTCTACTGCACATCTCAGTCCTCATCATAGGTTGTCCTAGTCGCAAACAAGTTGTCATGCATTAATCCGAAAACCAATCAATTCATCCATCAAAACACAGTGCCAATATGATGAAACAGCAGTACTTGGAGCCCTCAAATCGTAAGATTCGGACAGTGGACTAGGCTCCAAGCACCATCAAAAATATTCCAACCGATACAAAACATCCCCCCACACTTAAGCACGACATTGCCCTCAATGGAGTAGAGGGAAAGACAAGGGGAACGATGTTACCGGGTAAGAACACTGCTGGGGGACTGGAAGTGGACCAGTCAGCGAGAAACGAACGGGGGAGTGGACAATGCTGCACAAATCGAACACCAGAAACACACTAGCACACTGGCGTTAGGGATAAGTGTTAGCCCAGACGGCTACATCAAACCACAAATGAAAAACCAAAAACAAAAACAACCGACAAAAAGTTCAAGCTCCGCACACATGGAGCAAACACTCAAAAGTCTAAAAAAAACAAACAAAAACAAACACACTGAGACGGGCAACGAGTACAGCCTACTCGTCGCCAAGATCGTCGAGATCGATGTCATCCATGAACGCATCATCATCAGCAGCGCCAGTAGCTCCATCATCACCGTCAGCTGGGGCCGCACGGGCAGGCACGCACGGTCGTGCATGGCTTGCTTCTGCCCGTGCAGGACGACACGGCCTGGCCGAGGACATCGCACGGCCGTGCACATCACACATTTGGCCGTGCGGTTAGTGCCGAGAGCTTGCACGGCCAGGGGTGATTTCCGCACGGCCGTGCAACATGCACTTCTGCCCGTGCACGTTGCACCGAGAGCTTGCACGGCCAGGGGATATTTTGGCACGGCCGTGCAAGTTGGTGGCCTGGGCGTGCACAGTTCTGGGACCCCGAATTCAACCTGTTTTCACTCAAAAACGACACTTGACTCTGGATCAACGTCTCAAGACTCAAAAACACACAAAATCAAAGGAAAAAGAGTAAGAAAATGCAAACCTCGGTGGGGTTGCCTCCCCACAAGCGCTTCTTTACCGTCTTTTAGCTGGACGCCAGTATGGATGCTCAGGGAAGTGTAGGATCAGGTGCCTTCAAGAGCGGATCCACATCGCTCTTGAGGTACAGCTTCAAATGGTGGCCAGGCACGCGACGAATGTGGCCACCAGCATTTGCCAGCTCGACTTGGCCATCCGGTAAGATGCAAGCGAGTGAATACTCGGATGGCCAAGGTGGGGGCGGGACCAGCTCATAGTGGTCTCCGGCTTTCTTTCGAGCAGGCTTAGCTGCCTGCAGTTTCGGCCGCCACTCCTCCTTGACCTGTTCTTTGGATGATGGAGTGATCCGGAGTGGTGGCGAAGGTGTGAGAGGCGGGTCCTGCAAAATAGGCAGCACAGAAGGATACACGACAGACTCGTGCTCCTGGTGAGATACAGCATGCAGAGGTAACGAATCATGTAAAGTGTTAGCAACAGAAAATGTTATTCGCTCCTCGCCATCCCTCAGAACTAAGGTCCCATCATGCACATCTATGAGAGCCTTGGCGGTGGCCAGGAAAGGCCTTCCCAGTATAAGAGGCACTTCTGTGTCCTCACTGATGTCCAGGATAACAAAATCCACAGGATATGTGAATTTGCCAACCTTGACCAGAAGGTCTTCCACTATACCCCTAGGATGCACTACCGATCTGTCAGCTAATTGAAGGGTCATCCTAGTAGCACGGGGTTCACCTAGGCCTAGTTTCATGAACAATTTATATGGAATAACATTGATACTAGCACCTAAATCCGCCAAGGACTTCTCTACATGCAATTTATCAATAGAGCACGGGATAGTGAAACTACCTGGGTCCTTTTTCTTCTGCGGAAGCTTGTTCTGCAGAATAGCCGAGCACTCCTCGCTGAGCTCCACAGTGGCCAGCTCGCTCAGCTTCTGCTTCTATGAGAGAAGCTCTTTAAGAAACTTCGCATACTTCGGCATTTGCGATAGTGCCTCCAGGAAGGGCACTTGGACATTCAGCTTCTTGAGCATGGCCATGAAGTTCTCGAACTCTGTCTCCAGCCTGTCTCTGTGCAACCGAGTAGGGAAAGGGAGTTTAGGGACATACTCCTTCACTACTGGTTACGGTTTAGGTGCAGGCACC